TAACCTCCTGTTCTAAAAATAGTCATTTTGTAACAGTACGCCTCTTCAACGTTTTTTTTTACTTAAAATGTTTCTCACCTCGTATATTTTATACAACAGTTTATAATGTTAATTTATGATAATTAAAACACACACAACCCCCCCTTCCCACACACACACCCACGCGCACACATGCACACACACACACATACACACACACACATATGCACACATGAACTATATATATTATGCCTATGGATAGACTATTAATGTTTAATTAGGAATCAAACCTAAGTTTTAAAATATATATTTTTTACTCTTATGTTATCTAAAATACGTGTACTGTATAGTTTTGGTTTACTATTTTCAATAATGAACCATTGCAATAGAACAAAACATTCAAAAACTTAACCTTCCCTCTTTCTTCAAAACTTGAGGTTTTACGTTTACGGATACGTATACTTCTAAAATTGAATACATTTTCTTTTGTCCGCCGTCCGCCCATTTTTCAAAAAAACTGCTGGACCGATCTTTTTCAACTTTGGATTTAAAGTCAGAGGTAACCAAAGGATGATCCTCCCTCATTAATATTAATATCCATTTTTTCCTTTCAAGATTGTTCTGGGCTGCTATAGACTCTAGCGCCTAAACGAATGTACCGATTTCAATGAAATTTGGTTAAAGTCATCTTCTCGATGTCTTTTAAATTTATTTATATAACATACATCAACGAAAAGAAACTGAAAAAAAGTTACGAGGGTTGGTAAAATTATATTCCGAATAACTCAAAAAGTATATACTTTTTTGTTGATATTGTATATGGTTATTTAAATGTTTCGAAATTTCTTAAAAACCTAAAAAAAAAAATCGGACAATCAGGAGCAAAGATATGGTCTATGGATATCTTTTTTTTATGTTCTACTGCAAAGGTTGTATCTTTTGTTTTGGTTTTTGCTTTTTTAAAACGTTACTGAAGTGATGCTATTTTTTCAGATAATTACTAATGATAAAAAAAAGTTGTTTAGACCAATAATAGGAATCACCTTGATTGCTTCCTCACTACCGAAGGTATGGAAGCATTGTATTCGTGCGAGAGGTTAAAAAATATTTTGTGCTCAAAATGGAAAATTTTTACTCGCGTTTTATGTTTTAGACACAATGATCAAATTTGGTTAGGTGTCTGTCTGTTTGTAGTCAAATCGATATGACGGGCATATCACCTACTACCGTTTATCCAATTTTCAGGAATTGTGCGAGTAGGTGTCTAGATGGTTCCATATCAATTTTATTAAATTCAAACCAGCATTTCCGCTTACGCACCCGCAAAGGCATTTTTGTATTTATACCAATATTTCTGAAACCGCTCGTTCAATTTGGCTCAAAGTTGGATGAAAGGTAGTTATATGTAAAAAAATAATGTAGGAACAATTTTATTGAATTCTGTCAATTACTTTCTCTCATATATGCGCAAACGTGTTTCTCTTGATACGTCTATATCTCTAAAACCACAAGTTCAATTTGGCTCAAATTTGGGGAGAACTTAGGGATTGGTAAACGTAAAATGAAATAGGCATCAATTTTATCAATTTCTACTACTCCAAAAAATAATACTTCCTCTTTTAGATCAGAAAATGTTCCATTTGACATGCCTATAGTTTGAAAAAGGCGCATTCGATTTGATCCAAACATGGAGGAAATTTGGAGAACAGTATATAAATTACATAGTATCAATTTCATTGAATTCTATTTAATAATTAAAGTTAATATAAATAATTGTTAACAATATAATGGTTCTGAAATGTTGAAGGCACTGATCATATAGAGTGGGAGTTAGGTTATTACAATATTGTTATGGAGTTCTAAAATTTTAGGTTTTATTCAAAAAATTAATTGACACTGTATTTTTGTATTTTTACTGTATTTTGTGTACTTCAGTTGATGTTAAACGATTAAATAAAGTAGTTATTGAATCCTCAATAGTGATTCAATTTGAGTAAACTACTTGGTACTCTGTACTCATAGTAGCATTTGCCCATCTCTGAGTCATAGTCAAGTGGAAAAAGCTTATTAACCTTATATAAATTCATTCAAGACTAAGCTTATTCCATGCCCCCGATTCATCACCTTAGTTACACTTAGCGGATTTAATTCAGGCAATGCAGCCTTGAATAGCACTAAGTTCTCTGGATGAAGCGTCCTCCTCTACAAATATTTTACGCAATAATTTATGATGATAACACCATTTTTATTTTCTTCTCCAGCTAAAAATTTGCACTGGTCTGCCAAGAAAAGCGTGCAATTTTTATTGCCCATTTAAAGATTACGGAAAAATTGTATTATTTGAAAATAATTTGTTTCAAGGTATCATGAAACTGCACAACCTCAGAAACCAAAGTCCACGTTGTTTTTTTGTTTTGTTTTTTTTCATCAATGCGATCCTTAATACAATTCTGTAGGTTCAAATGCTCCAAAATCATTTCGTTTTTTGCACAAGAAATCACCATTGTGAGGCTTTATTACAATCAATACTACAAAAACTGCTATTCTTACGAAAATAATTATTATAAAAATTCAATCTCACTCATGAAATCTTATGGCTCTAAAAGTTCAATAATAAGTTAAATTTTATAAAATAGCGTTCGAATAATGATTAAAAAGATATAGCTAGTTTACGATCTGTACCTGATTAGATAACTGCCCTTCTGAATCTGGCATCCTAAATAACGCTCGGTTATCGCCCTAGGCGTCGGTTATGAAAACGGACTCATATAATGAATGATATGGTCTCCACAAATGGAAACATTTAAGAAGCCAAAGTAGCTACACTACAAATATTTCTGTCACTAACGGCTCAGCTTACTAAGATCCAATTTATCATACAAAAAAGTTTGTGTTTTTTCATAATTTTGGTCTCGTTTTTATGTATATGTTATTTTTTTGTTTCTTAATAACATTTCCTTAATAGTAGCATTTACAATAGTCATTACTAATATGCTACTAAGGGAGTGGGGTAGCTCAGTGGTAGGGTACTGAACTTCCAATGCTGATGGTCCCAGGTTCGAACCCCGGCTCATGAAAATTTATTTATCTGTTTCATTGGCCGTGGGGCGACCCTGGGTCGGGAGGCCCTTCTGGGGCAAACCCAGCCTCTATAAAGTGGGTACTCTTAATTAAATAATTAATTAAGGAGGAAAACCTGGCGGTTGAGCGTGATCTCGGCCAAATCACCTCCTTGCACAACCATTGACCTAGAAACAGTGCTTTCCCTAAATAGCACTGAGCCCCAGACCCTTCATGGGTGGTAGTGGTACAGGTAATATGCTACTCAATGATGATCACTAAATTGTTAATGTTTTATTATAAACATGAGTGTAATATTATCGAGAATAATATAGTATGGTTCAAGTAAAGAAAAAATATTATAAATATATTACGTTTCCTAGATTTCGGTGGCAGGAATAGTTAGAAGAAATGATGAATTTGTAAAATAGTGTTTGAATATTTGAATGAAATTGGAGATTTGACGTGCTTGAAACCGATATAGACACTTCTAGAACAGCAAAAGATATATTGATACAAGGTTTTGATGCCGGAATGACACATACCTCTTGGTTCTTGTAAATGATGATATAGTATCTATAATATTATCAGGAAACTTATAATAGGTTTATGAATAATAATGACGAAAGAAGTCGAAGTAACTGTAATTTTAACGCACATACAAACATAAATGTAATACAGAGAGAGACAGAGTGTGAGAGAAACAGTCTCCAAAATGCAGGCAAAGAAAAACCCGTCAGCGTTCCGCCAATTCAAACATCATCAGAACAGAAAAAAAACAGCCAATCTAACATCACTCCATGCTAATTCCCTTTGTCCAATAAATTTTTTGTTACGTAAGTAGTGATCCAAATCTAAAAAAAATGATAGTCCGTAGGCGAGATGTCCGGAGAGTAGGGCGGATGTGGCAGAGTTTCATATCTAATCTCCAAAAGTTTTTTAGACATGTGGCGTTGACATGGAACAAAATAGACCTCTTCCGACTGACCAAAGATGGTCCCCTTCATTATTTCCAATTTCTGATGCATTGCATTAATTTTACAATTCGCCATTGATGGTTTCACCAGGCTTTAAGAAACTGCAGTGTATCAAACCAAATGAAGCATACCTAACAGTAACCAACACTTTTTTTTTATGAGTTGGGAGCTTTAGAAAATGTTCTGTCGTTTCTCCTTTGTCGAGCCACTTTCCAGAACATCTACTGTTATCGTAAAGTATCCACATTTCAACACAAGTAATAATTCTGGACAGAAAAGGGTCGTTTTTGTGTGGTCTACAAAGAAGTGTAGCACAAACTTCACAACACTGTTTTTTGGGGCGGTCGTTTAATTTGTGTGCAATCCAACTTTCAAGTTTTTTTATCTTTCCAATCGGCTGAAGGTGGTCATCGGCAGTCGATTCGCTAAGGTTAAGTTTCCCTGCAAGTTCCTGAACATTTGTTCTGTGGTTTTCTTTCACCAAAGCCCGCAGAACAAGAGGAAGTACTTCCACGACCTTGTTTGTCTTCAAAGCTGAAGTCTCCCTCCCGAAATTTTTTGAACCACTGTTGAACATTGCACTCATTAATGCTGCTTGCGCCCCAGACTGATTGATGACCGTCCTGCCGAGTTTAAACTCGTAAATCAAAATCACTCGTTGATAACTTAGAAAATATTGAATTATTTTTAAGCAGCGAAATGCTATTCCAAATCCCTGAATTTCGTTTGGAAAACGATTAATAAGTGTTGATATTCAAACAAATGAATAATCCAGTAAACGTAAACAGTTTATTATATAGAGACAGAGATATTTTAAAGAAAACTCTAAATCCTGCTGAAAAATTATTTTCTGGACAACCCAGTAATAGTAAAGTTTAAACTTCTTCATTAAATTTAAAGTAAATACGATTTATTCAGCAATCTATATGAACTATAATTTGCCAATATATGTGTCAAATAATAATAGTATATTTTTTTTTTTAGATAAAGTATTTTAATCATATTGATCAATATCATCCCTGACAATTACAATGACGACACTGATGCTTCTGGTCGCAGTAGTTGTTTGCTGTTTTCTCTACTTGGGGCTGATCCTCTGGAAGGCAAACACCTACTGGGAAGTGAGGGGTGTAAAGCACTTCAAGCCATGGCCATTAGTTGGCAATCTGGCCAGGGCACTGAAATTTAATCGTCATGTGTCATTCTTTTATGATGAGGTAAATGGAATTCTTCTTCATTATAATAATAAATCAATTTCATAATTTATGCCATTATGATTTGCCATTGTCATGGATTCCAAATTTTTAATCGCTTTCTAATTCAAATCTAACCTTAAAGGATTAAATTTGAAATGGAAACGGTTACATTTGATTTAGAAAGGGTTACATTTGAAATGGAAAACTTTACAATTGGCTTGAAAATGCTACATACAGCTGCTGTTAAAACAAAAGCAAGTATGTAACAATTTTATGTTCTTAATCTATTTGTGCTAAAGGTGAATTTTCAAAGTCTGCAATTACTATAAGTATTTTGCTACTACGTAAACTAGTATAGAGAAATAAAACATGAAATTATACCAATAAATCATAAATAAATAATCAGTTTTTCTGCTCTCCTGTAAGAAAACTCAATTTTTACATACGACCTTTTGCACTAACAGTTGTGATTGTTGAAAACACTATCTATATATTCAAATCGTAAAGTATAACTTCTCCATAAAATTTACCATTAAGTACATGCTGTTTGATATATCCTATAACTTTGATTTATCCTGAAATCTTGTATTAAATTATTAAATGATTTTTTGTCTCTCCCAGATATACAAGGCATTTCCAACTGAAAGAATGGTGGGAATGTACGAATTCCTTACCCCGACATTGATCATAAGGGATCCAACATTGGTGGAAAATGTCCTCGTGAGGGAGTTTTCTACTTACCCTGATCATGGACCATTGTTCTTCGAACCGAGTAGTATCAGCTATGAGAGCATCTTTACAATAACTGGCATCAGGTGGAGAGCACTAAGGTATTAAGTTAGTTAAAGTATCATATGACAATATATCTTTTCGGATAGCAGTCTTATGACCCTTATTATCTAATTGTTTTTATTTATTTGGATTTGTGGATTTATATAAATGGATTTGTGTATATTTGTGTATAACTATATTTTATTTTTATGTACTTAATTTTTTGACAAATAATACTATATTTTTCTTCCTTCCGAAAAATTGAGATTTCCTTTGATTGATGATTCAAATTTGGGTCCAGGATCCCTTTACAAATTTATTTCAAGCCGTTACATAATATCGACTTTGGTTATCTATGAAATTTTAACCATGCGATCGTAAAGTTAAGACATAATAAAAAATTTGTTGAAGTGGCCTAAATTTTTTTTGGTATTTATTTTATTTTTTGGTATAAGATATATTAGATCAATGCTACACTAAGGAGTAAATACTTACACATCCAAGGTCTAAAAAGGAAGAAAAATGAAAGTAACTTCTTAAATAATTTCTGGCTTATATTATATTTATTATTTGTTTGGAATGATTTATTTGCTGAAAAATAAAATACTGTTGACATATTTAAATTAAATATAAATTAACAATTTAAGTTGATAGACAGAATAACTGGGGATTATAAAATAGCACTAATAAAAAAGGGTGGCAATAAAATATTTATTTTTTCAATGATTATTATTCTTCATTTGTCTCCTGAACACGGGTGACACACACTACTCGAAAAGCAGTACATTTTCCTTAATCGACCTCACTTTCGCTGATTTTAGACTGGCACAGAAAATTGTAATGTAAACAAAAGAACACCTTTACGAAAGCGACCACTTCCCAATCCTCCTATAGTTGAGGTGTGAAATAGCTTAAAGAAAGAACCGTCATCGGTAGTACCGAAAAGCTGACTGGACATCATTCCATGTAAAACTGATAAAGTCATTGAAGTTGTATATGTAGACCGAAACAATATTGATCTTAATGTTAGCATTTTTAACCAAGCAATACTAGAGGCTGCAGAATAGCACAGAATAGTTCCGTGGTGGAATAAACAATGTCAGGTTGCCGTTAAAGCTAAAAAACGTGCTCTTAATAAGTACAGAAAGAACAGAAGACCACGTGATGCGATCGAGTTCAAAAGGTCAAGAACCACAACAGATAGGACAATCAAAGAGAGTAAAAGGGCATCATGGAGGAATTTGTATCTTCTGCAACCCATTACACATCAACGAAAGTGCTGTAGTTAAAACATCATGGGATTTTCTTACACGGCAAAATTATATGGTACAGGTATTGAGAAACGAAATGGGGATGAACGAAATTGCGGAAGCACTAACAAAACATTTTCATCAGGTATCCTTGACTAATATTCAAGGGCCATAAAATTAGGAAGATGAACTGAACGAACGCTGCTTCAATGAAGGTAACTATAATGCTACATTTGGGAAACAAGAACTGGAATACATGCTCCAGAAACATCCAAAGAGGTCAGCAGTGAGCAGTTATGAAGTATTATTGGAAAAGATATATAAATTACTTGAAGAAGGAAAACAAATCCTGCTGCAATTGTACAGCCAGCCAGGTATGGAGTTACGGTTATCTCCCGCAGATTTGAGAAAAACTATCTTGTGACAAACTTTCATCCTATCTCACTTCTTTCATGCGTTAGTAAGATTTTAAAAAAAGATAGTACACCAGATTAGTAAAATGAAATAGTAAAACAAAGAGAAGCTCCTAACTCCGACCAAATTTGGTTCTAGAGAACACCACTCCACAATGGACCCAATACAAATGCTAAAATTCGACGCATAAGAAGTTTTCCGTGTAGCACCTCATCACAATATATTCTTGGATAGTGAATAAGGTAAGGCTATGATACCATGTGGAGATGGTGAGTCTTGGACGTTCCAAGATGATGGAATGTTGAAGGGAAGACGTGGAAATACATTACGAATTTCTAAAGCATAAAACGTTTACTATTATAGTTGAATCTTTAGAATCTGCAATATAGACGACGAAGAACGGTACTCTCCATGACTCTGCATTCAGTGCGACCCTTTTCCAGTTCTCAATAAAAAACATAGCAGAAGTTTTTGTTAGCCCGGTAAAACTTATTATGTATGCCAACAACACAAGGTTTTGTGCACTAAGCAAATCTACTAAATTTCTAGAATAGAAAATTCAAGAAGTCCTAGACAATATATAAGTATCGTTAATAGAGATTGGTTTCAGACTGTCACCTGGGAAAACCAAATCCATGCACTTTTCCAGGCTATGAGGCTGTACACAAGATACGAAAATACGGATCGATGATACCGAAATCACATTTGTTGGTAATCTTGAATACTTGGGGATGCAGTTGGATCGATCACTTGGATGTTACATATAAAAATACTTAAAGAAGAGTAAAGTCGCTCTAGTCAAGTGTCCTTTCCACACGAACCAGGGAGCGGACAGAAAGAGCCTGTTAAATATATATTGCACGGCCATCAGAACTAAATTAGATTATGACTTAAGTGTTCAAGGTACCGCATCAAAGATAACTTTAACCAATATTAAAAAAAAAATTTGGATATGGCCCAAAGCCTGAAAGAAAACTTGATCAATAATGAGAAATCTGTTTAAAAAAAACTTTAGATTTTTTAAAAATGATAAAACTCAATAATAAAGTGTAATTAAAAGGTGCTGCCACTGAGCCTATAGGGTAGACGCTACAAATAAATAGATTTTCTTCATTTCTTAATATTTTTATAGTTTGCTTTAAAATTCATATTTACACTTGTGAAAAGTTTTATTATTCTTGAAAAATAACATTAAATAATGAATTCTAAACTGAAATTCATTTTTTTGGTGATAAACCTACAAAACGGAATAGCACTCAGTATACCAATTAAATAAAAGAGATTATACCTTATCACAATAAAATGTTGTATATTTATAAATAAATAATTATATTCATTTATATGTGAATGCATTTTTTAGGAATAAACTGCTAACGTCTTTCTCGACTGGGAAAATGAAAGCTATATTTCCTGACATCGTCCGATCCTGTCAAAGTGTCGTAGACAGTGATCCGAAAAGGTTGCACAAAGATATGCTCCATGAGTTCGCGGTGAAGAGTTTCTTGAACTCCATGTTCGGAACTAACATCCTACCGGAAGGCGAAGAGGAACTAATGGCAAAAAGCAAAGAAGTATTCCAAGGCAAGCCGCAGAGAATCATTCAGCAAATAATGCTAACATTCTTTCCGAAACTAGGGGACTTCTTGAACATGAAATTCATGCCAAAAACATTAGACAACTACTTCAGAAACCTACTGAATACACTTGTTGAGCAGAGAGCATCGGCGAACATTAAGAGAGACGACTACGCAAAAGTTCTATGCGATATGAATAAAATGGGTAAAATGGACGTATACAATAGGGAAAATAAAAGAATAGACGAAACCTTTGGTAAGTAATAAAACATAGATTCATGAATAAAGAATTTCTTGCTTATATCATATTATATAGTTATAGGTTAAAAGACAAGAAATAATTAATTCTACAATATTTAAGCAGAATAAGTACATTTTTTATCTGACTAAGCAAAGTTAAACGAGAGTTACGTATTTGGGTCGTCCGCTAAAAGCTATGTAACGTTTTTTTGAACGTAGGACTGGTTTTTAAGTTTGATGTTTTAAATTATTCGTTAGATCCTCTGAGTGTTTTGAAACAATTCGAGCTAAAGATACCAAATCTTGATCAAATAAAATGTGATTAATCGATTTGCTAAAATATATGCAGAAGTCAGTGGATCAGCTGAGTGGAAGGTTGCGCTCTCAACTGGTCTCTTAGTATTTGCCTATTTTTCAGCGAAATCTCTCTGATCTTTCATTTAATACATTTCACGTGTACATCACAGCAGTTGATATTGCTGTTTGATATTTTTGTATATATTTTTTTTTCTTTATTTTTTTCTTCTCTTATGGTTTGTGGTATAGTCACCAACTGATTTCCAGTAAGGTGCCCAAGAGGACTCGGTCAGACGGAGTTAGTTCACCAGCCAAACAAATAAGTGGTCGCTGCCTACGAGAAACATCTCCAACAACAAAACTGAACACATCAGAACCAGAACCTCAGCCCCAACCAGGAACTTCTTCGCTAGAAATGATCGAAGAATCCCCTTTCTTTACTCCAAACCTACCAAGTGCTTCACCGAGAGGTAATAGAGTCTGCAGCTATACCCACAGAACCAAGGCCTCCTCCGATATTTGTGAAAAATATCACAAATTTCCAGTTATTTTGCAGTCCTGCACTTAACTAAATAAAATCTGCTCTGGCAGTTATTCATGCCTTAACAGGACCAGCGATAGAAAAATAACACCAGATACTTCTGAAACCTACCGAATAATAGTGAAGTACCTCTCAGAAACGAATGCAAATTTTCACGTAGGCAGGAGAGATCGTTACGAGTAGTAATAAGATATTTACACTCCTCAACCCCAACTGAAGTGATAAAAGAAGAACTAGCGGCGCTTGGTTTCAAAGTACGTCAGGTAACCAACGTTCTGAAGGAGAATAAGGAGCAGCCTGGGTAAAAAATATAGTTCCACTACCTCTATTTTTCGTGGATCTAGAGCCATCACCCGGTATTGAGAAAACATACGATATCACAAGATTATATTATACAATGGTGAAAGTAGAGAAACCATACCCCAAGAGATAAATCACGCAGTGCCATAATTGTCAGGCGTATAGCGAAGACACGAAGACTTACTGTCACCATCTGCCGCTTTGCATGAAATTCGGTGAACAAGCACAAATCTGTGGAGTGCACCAAACCGATACAAGATCCTGCAATGTGTGCACTATGCCTGGAGGGACACCCGGCCAACTACAAAGGATGCCAAATTTACAAGAATCTCAAATCGAGACACCAGAAAAATTGGATTCAAGATGAAGCAGGAGGACCAAGAAGAGAGAGTGACAGCCTTCTAGAATAGTAAACAATAGTGTCTCATTTTCCCAGCTACTTAGAGGTAAGAACTCAACCAATAACTGTCAAGCTCTGCTGCAACAACAACCTCAACCCCAACCACAAAATCCTATTTATGTGAATATACCTAACCATCAACAACAAATTCATCATATCCCTCCTCCTTCAAATGCAACAGATCTCACCATTTTATTGGCATCTTTCCTCACCGATTTCAAATCCTTAGTTACTCCACTCATATCAATCCTCACAAATCTCGTATCTCACCTCATCCCTCCTTTAAAAATCCTTAATGACTCACATCCCAAAACCCATATCCATTCTCCTTTGGAATGCGAATGGTGTTAGAAATCACGTCGACGAACTAACATCTTTATTACTAGACAAGAACATCGACGTAGCACTAATTACGGAAACACGGCTGACCAGAAAACAGCATTTAAAAATACATACCGTACTGATACATAACATACCGTACTGACTATCCTCACAGTAAAGCATATGCCGCCACTGTTGTTATTGTAGGCCACTCCCTTTCTCTTCACCAGCTCCCATTACCGACACAAGATTTCCTACAATCCACCGCTATCATAATCAAAACCTTCTCCTTTCCCTTCACCATAGCATCAGCATATTGCCCTCCTAGCAGATCCATATCCAATATCCAGTTCAATTCTCTTCTCAACATTTTAGTACATCACTTCATCCTGGATGAAGATTTAAACGCCAAACATCATCAATGGCGTTCTAGACATGAATTCTCGTTGTAGATCATTGTTATCTGCACTCAATTCCCACAGTTTCAGTACCCTTCCTCCTAACTCACCAACCTACTGGCCCACAGATACTAACCGCAATCCCGATATCCTTTATTTTTTCATCCACAGTGGCTTAGGTCCCCTCAATCATTCTCTTACCCGTCTTGCCGAACGATCCTCAGATCATAGTCCATTATTACTCCAATTATCTCTAGCTCCTATTTCTAAGTCTTCTGCACCGTCCTTTATCAGAGGCCCAGTTAACTGGAAACCCTTTCACTAAACCCTTTCCGATAACATTGACCTCAGAATACCCCAGATGACCTCGACTTTTACTACCACTATCCAACAAGCAATCTGGACTGCTTCCTATCCAAACCACTCCTCAAGAACTCCCAAGAAAAATAAGTTAACTCAACACCCCATAGACCAAACCCATACCAAACGCCGTGCCAGATTATTATGGCAACGTACTAGACACCCCACCGATAGTCAATCCTATAATTATTTTTGGAAAAAATTAAAGCTAGAATTGGCCACCTTCAGATCCCAATCATTCAACTCCTGCCGTACTTCTCTTTCTTCTGATGACAATTCCCTATGGAAGATCACTAAACAAATCCTAAAACCCCATCACATATCACATCCTCTCTGTCGAGGTGATGGCTCTTGGGCAGCGTCTGACGAAGATAATACTCCTTTCCCTCACACTCATCTGAAATCCAACCCACCCACACGTCAGCAGTCGAGGAATTCTCCTATCCCACTCACCTTGCCGCCTAAAGTAGTTAATTCTTCTGAGGTTAAATATCACTTATAAAAACTACCTACCCGCAAATCACCTGGATACGATTTCCCTGCCTCTCAGATCCTTAGATAACTCCCTCCTAAAGCTGTCATATTCCTTACATACATATACAATAGCATCCTACGAACCACACAATTTTCTCTTTTATGGAAACATTCTACTATTACCCTATTCCCAAAATCAGGAAAACCTCCCAACAGCTTAACTTCCAATAGACCCATTAGCCTACTTCCAATCCTTTCAAAAATCCTTGAAAAGATCCTCCTGAAAAGAATCCTACCTTTTATAGAATCTCAAAATCTTCCTTCACACCAGTTCGGATTCCGTTGCCAACATTCCACAGTCCATCAAGGACTTCGAGTGGTCGATTATATTTCCGCAGCCCTGGAAAGCAAGCAATATTGCCAACTATACATACTACTAAATAGAAAATCTAAACTCTGTATTGAAAATATAATACTTATCTACAAGACTATACTGAAACCTACTTGGACATACGGACTTGAACTGTGGGGAACGGGAAAATTTTCTAACATCAAACGCATCCAATCCTTCGAACAATAGTCGATGCTCCTTTCTATGTAACCAACAAAACCTTACAGCATGACCTTAATATCCCATTTGTCCTAGACCTTATTCCAGCGAAATTCTCCAAATTTCACCAGTACCTTACCCATCATCCAAATCCCTTTGCACAATCTCTATCCAGCACCGCCCGTCCCTATAATCCTTCAAGGGGGTTAAAACGGCAGTGGCCCCGCGACCTTTTATAGTTTGTAAATATTGGAGTTCTCGCAATGGCCAGATTCTCTACTCACGACATGAGTGTATATGGTTGGGCGGGGTAGCCGAATGGGCTAAAGCGTGTGCACTGCACCGCCGTTGCCTGGCAACCTGACATATGAATTAAAGATATAAAAATAGTCACGAGTTCGCGTCCCGGTGCCGAGGGAGTCTTTTAAATCCCCGCCCACACTCCCTGGCCCGGGAAAATCCCGTATAGCCTTAACGGCGAGGAAGGGAAGGACCAAAAAAAAAAAAAAAAAATGAGTGTATATGGATAAAGCACTCTTGCACAATCTCCACTGGGTTTAGCCCAAGTGACGCGGTTGAGAGAGAAGTGTAGGGATCGCCTGGAGTCATGCTTTTCCCTCCACAGTTAGAGGGACAAATCTGGTTTGGAGTTCTCTCGCCAGGTTATAAATAATTGTATATAGGTATGTATGAGTTCTTTTTATCTATTTATTTTTAGGTTATTTTATTCGAGTTGTGTTCCAGAAGTCGTCGAGTGAGGTTGGGTTAGGACGCTCCTCCGCATATGTGCGTTTTAGTTCGCGAAAAGTATTGTTCTTTGGGTTAATCGTTCTCAAAACTGTTTAATTAGTGCCCGTGCACCTTCGTGTAAAAGTGAAGTGGGTTTAACCCGAAAATAACAGTGATATTAGCGAAAATAACATCAAGCGTCGCCCACGTGGCCCTGAAACCACTATTTTTCCTGTTATTTTTCAGCCGAAGAACTTATTATAAGTGTTTTGTGAGCCTATCTTTGTTCGGGCCATTAAGTTACACCTCTCCCATAAATTTTGACTAAATCGGGCCGTTCAATGGAAGGTAAAACTTATGTTTTATGTCACCACGTGGTTTCCACGTGGCCTGCTAGGTTAGCTTGTGATTGACATTCCTGACTGACAGTCTGCTCATATTCATTCTGCTATTTTACTCACTTCTGAGTATAATTCATACATCTACTAAATTGTATTTATATTATGTTTATATTATATTAAATTAAAAATTAATATAATTAAAATATAATATAAGTATAATTAATATAATATAAATAATTAAAAATTATATATTATATTCTTATTATGTTTATATTATATTAAATTCATTAGTTTTGTATTATATT